TAATTGTCGGTTTCGTTTACCAACCCGGATGTTGCGTACTATCACAACAATGTCAAACTGTTTCAAACCCTTGTGTTGTAAAGTGTGTTGTAATAGAAGGAATTGAATATACTAAGTGTTTTAGGTACGACTAGATGTTTGTCCTAGGCTTTCCAGACCTATACCTCCATACTTTATCAAACAACACTTTAGGGGCATTGTTGGTATTGTTCGTTTCGTATTACCACATCATGTGCGATACATAATTCAAATTCAAAACTGTTCAAAACCGTTGTTGGAAAAATGGGTGGTGAAAGAAGGAAATTGGCTAGTAAATAAAGAGTGTTGGGGGGATTAGCAGCTAGATTAGTTTTGTTTTGTGCCCTATTCCACCTGCTTACAAATTATAGTCCGAAGTGTTAGGCCAATTGTGGTTTGTCGTTATCGTTTACACTCGATTATCTGTACAACAAATGCAAAACTGTTGACAAGTAAGATACGCCTTGTTAGTCAATACGTTGGTGTGTAAAGAAGGAGATAAGAAAGCCCAAAATATGTGTTTTAAGGTATGCTTAGATAGTTTTGTTATTTTCTCAACATCTCCAACCTATAGTCAAACTGTTAGGGGTATTGAAACCATCTGTCTTTGTTTGTCCTTTCGTTACAATCATTGCTATTGTGAGTAAGCACTTATATGCAACGGGATATTGGAAAAAACTTTGTAATTGCCCTCCCCAGCGATCCCTATTAAGTTATTCCTGATGCGGCAGCAAGTTGGCTGGGCAAGCCTATCTCTCCAGTGAGATGAATCCTACATATACATTAGAATGAAATTTAAGTCGTGTACCAGTCGATTGATGCACAAGAACAACACTTTGTCCACTAGTTTTGTCTCTCCTCCATCGTGGTGAAACTCACCCATCGCATGTAACAACACAGCTACTGCGACACCTGGTTAAGAACAAAAGATGTATTTTTTCTTTCTCACATTAGGAACTCAAGGGCCTTCTGTGCTCTATTCCTACAGCACACTATATGGTTTAGGGAGCTTATGCAGCTATTAAAGATTACGGCAATGAAGGAAAAAAAACATTGCACTCCGGTCCCTCTGTAAAGGCTTCAAACACATTTGTTGTGCAAAACCGAGCTTGTCCACTATGTAAGTCACCTAACATCCTTTGTGTTGTTTGTCGACTGGTCGGAATAAGAGCACGAGATGAGGAATGGACGAGGGGAAAGAGGCGAAGAGACAGCAGTCAGAAAGAATAAAAAAAAGTCCGCAACTGGGACTTGTCAGCATGGATATATACAGTCTTACTAGAACTGTTATTTATGGTAAGGCATCATGGTCTTTTTACATGCTCAAGGTAGATGCCTTGGACTAGGTCAAATTGTGCAAGCAGTGATTACTTAGACCCCTTCCTATATATATTGATATTTTTGATGTAATGATATAATGAACTTCCTTTATGTTGTTTCTTAGGTAGCTGGTGTTGTTCAATGGTTCCCCCTCGTGTTTAACAGAATGTTTCACACAGTGAGGTTAGGATCTCACTTCGATTGCATACGCAGTGGTATGTACCCTAGAGGTGGACAAGCATCATCTAAGTTCAAGTCCTCTATTTACGTTTATAGTCACCGAACAGGCAGTAGGGATTCTAAGTTTCAGATAGCCAATGAGTTTTTCATATTTCCACACCAATTATTCATTCAGCACGGCATGTTGTAGTATCATGGGCCTGAATCCTTGAACCCAGAACTATGTCACCACTGGCTCGGTAATAAAAATTTTGCACGCGCCGTGTAGGCTGAATAATATTTTGTAAATTGTTGGCTTACGAAATTTCAAAACAATCACCGCTGTAGCATGAGGAGTACTTGTTACCTTGTATTTTTAGCCTTACACCTTAGTCAGGCATGGATTTTGGAAGCCCCTCTGCTCAAAGCAGTAGCTGTTGGAATGATGGCTGTCAAACTGCATAGACACTGGATATCCATGTCAATTAAAAATGGGCTGGTTAGGAGTATTTTGAATGATGCACTGTGCTTCTAACGTCTTATTGGCCTTGGTAATTGTTACGGGTCGCGCACAATGATTGATTATGCTTTGACAAATAGAGGCCGCCTAAATTACTAGTTAATAAAATTGGTGAAGTTTTATATGTGGCACCGCTACTTTCAGAAGTGAAGCCACTTAAACTGACAATATAATTTGTGTGTCTTACAAAAGTTCTAATGTCATGGTAGTGCATCTGGTTATCCCGGCCGATCAACTCATCCCCTCTAAGCCTTGAACGCAAATGATTTTACACCTGCTTGTTTACCATAGTGGGAATAGATCAGCTGGGCGGTTGTTGTCAACATTATTAACCCCTCCTTGGTCCAACCTGGCCCTGATCTGATAAGCTCTTGTTGGTCCTATCCCGGGTGCATTGCTGGCTCTCTAATAGTAATGGTAGGTTTCTGCCTTCACCTATATCTCTCGTATCTCATGTGTGGTCAGTATTCAAATACACTGGGTACGCAGTTGAATTCATGGTGTAAAGACTCATGCAACAATCAGACTTGTCCACTCGTCACCTTTCCTCCTGGCAAACCCTTGTAATTGTGGGTGGTTGGAGCTGTGCTGGTCGCCCACATGTAGGTTTAAGGGGTTCAGCCTAGAAGTGTGGTGGGGCGGCCGCTCAAGTGCCCAGAACCGGTTTTTGTGTCGGGGGTGTCGGGGGGGGGGTATGTCTGTGGGTGGGGATGGTGGTGGTGGTATGCAGGTGTGATGGGTCTAATGAATGTGGCTACTCTGTGGGGCGTGATATGTGGTCTGAATATGTACGGTTGTGTGGAGGGGGTCCCCTCGCCATGTGAAGATCTCGCACCGTTTTACCACTTCTCGCAGGTATAGGGCGGGAAGAAGCGGATAGGAAGCTATAAAGGGAATGGAGCTTGGTGGGAGAGCTGCTCCTAGTTCCGGTGGTGGCGCTGAAAACTTTTCTTTACCATCTGTTCTGATCTAAGCAAAACAGTGTAGTAAATTTCATCTGTAGGGTCACCTAAGGAACTCATTAAAGCAGAGTTCTGTTCGAGTTCACTAGAGTCACTGGACAATGACTGGCATACTAGTGAATGTCCAACCACAAGCAACAATAGCAACCATTGTTAGCAAACTAGGTTTACCTGCATCAGTTGTTGCTTTTTCTGTTATCCCATAAAAAACAAGTATCCTACTACCATGGTGTTTCGCGAAAGCCCAGGAAACAATACTAGAATAGCACAATTTGTCTAACTTTAAGCATTCTTAACAACTACAATAAAAGGCTTTCTCTCGGCTAATCCATAACGAAGGAGCAGACATACTTTAAATAGTGATTTTTTTTTTTGAGTTACCTGGATTCTATTTAAACGCAACACACAAAATGGTAATTGAAGGAATGAGCCCGGGCCACAAGTACCAAAATCTGTGGTAATGGATAAGGGGTAAGCCCGAGTCAGTTTCGGATGCTGGTGGTTGTCATTTTCTTAATAATATTAGTCTGGGTAGCCGAGCTGAAGCATGAAGTCCTCACACCACTATAAAACTCCTAAGGGTGAAAACACATCTCTGTGGGATAACCCCTGGAGATTGTTTTCGTGTGCTTTTACCTTGATTTTGCAGGTAAGTACAGCACATTACTCCATCTAATAAATTCTCTGGCGGTCTTACTATTGGCCTAAGTATTTTCTGACTAGATCAATTTGTCGATTATGGTATTACGCTTCCTGACCTATTTTGATTGGGGGGAGCGTCGTGAGCATCGCATAGTAGGGAGAGCCCTGGGGACAATATGAACTCTGGATCGTGTTCGCTTATCGAATTGGTATTAGTATGGGGAGTCCTCTGGGGAGGAATCAGAATGGCCGAGCAAACATCCATGACCGAGTGCTTTGTGGGTGACGTTTGTGGGAGGCAAGTGTTTGGGGAGGTACGGTGTCAGAGGTGGGGGTTGTGCGACAAGGAACACAAAAAGACAGAGTTGGGTGGGCAAAAAAGCACGCATCCCGTTATAATGAATAACTCATACATGTCAGGGTACCCCGGTAGTAAGCACGTCTAATTAGAAGAGTAAGGAGAGAAGGGGTTGTGACGTGTGGCCAACAAAAATAAAAAGGTTGTGTGGTTTGTGTGTGGGAGAGGATTGTATGTTACAGGGTCAAGGTTACGCACGATCATACAAGCAAATGCACAATCCATATCGAAAACCCTTGTCCAAAAGGGTGGTACAGAAGGGAAAATGCAAGGATAAACTTGAGTGCTTATGGTACAAGCATAAATAGATTTTGTGCGACTAGCCAGACCTCCAACATATAGTGCAAATCTGTTAAGGCATTTGTTGGTTTTGTCCCTGTTCGTTTGGTACTCATGTGCGTACAACAAATGCAAAACTTTTCAAGACCTTGTGGGTAAAGGGCTGGTAAAGAAGGGTAATTGAACAAAAATAGCCGTTTAGGTGTACCATCGAGTAGTTTTTGCGTAGTTTGGCCACCCTCAGATTAAGTGGGAGGGGTGTCTAGAGGGTGGTGGTAGGCGGGGGAAGTTGTTGGGTGGTTTGGGGGGGATCAGTTTCGTTATACCTCATGTGCATGCACAATGCAAATAAATCGGATTCGAGGGGAACCCGTTGTCGGAAGGGTGGTAGAAGGATGAAAATGCGAGAAAAATTAATGTGAAGTTGGTGAGAATACAGTGAGAATAATGATGGAGGGCGGTGGTCGGTGCGTGCGTGCTATTTTCACTAGCCAATATGGGGAGCATGCTCAATAGTGCACAAAGTTTAGGCATGTGTTGTGTGTCGTTCTCGTTTCTCAGATGCAGTAACATGCTGATGCGTAACAATGACTGCAACCATCTTGCACACGCTGCATGTCTGCTGTGGTACTGCTTGTGCTAGAGTACTACACCGGTACGCTGTTATAGCGAGTACCTGGAAGCCCAGGACGTTGGGAGGGGAATGCTCGCGAAGGGGAGGCCAGGAGGAGGCGGAAGAAGAGTGGAGGGACACGGCCGGCTTGTTGTGTCCAGAGTCACCGCAAACATGTCTAGAATGGCGCTGATATCAGTACTAGCTACACAAATCACTACACAGTGGTGAGAGAGGGTGGTTTGGAAGGGGGGGTCGTAGGGCCGGGCCTGGGAAAGGGGCGGGACGGCAAGGCTCGCAAGGGGGCCAGAGGCAAATGAAAACAAAAGGTGGACAGACATACAGTGTACTATGGAGGGACAGCAGAACGGAAAGCTGGGCAGATGCCGAGGGGACGACACGGTTAAACAGAACAGTAGGGTGCATGCAGAGGGAGGCTGGGGGAGGTGGGGGTGGCCGGCGGGCCGGCACTGTAAGGTTTACCGGGGGAGGTGGGGGTGGGGACAGTGCTTGGGCGGGCGCGGGATCAGATTGGTTTGCCTGGGATGTGTAGAGGAGTGTGGCACGAGCGAGCGAAATTAAATGAATCTCGTTGGAAGCTTCAGTGGAGTGGAGGGGAAACCACGAACGCGCCTCCGCGGAGGATGGTGTTGGAGCGGGAGTGTGGAGGGGGTGGGCGGAAGACCCTGGTAGAGAGGGAGGAGCGAGGGGAACAAAAAACAAGAAAAACCAATCCACGACAGAAGGACAGAAACAGCAGGAAACGGGGCGGGGCGACAAAGCACGGGGGAAACACCGGAGCGAGCACGGGCCCACAAGCGAATAACACGAAACTCCCATGCCCACAAAGTTCCAGAAAAACTTTTTCAGACGGTTAAAAATCGCGAAATCCTCGAATCGAAAGTTTCCCACTATACACAATATGACGGATGCAGTGAATGATATACAATCCACTACTGTACCTTGTGAGAGGCAGTCTTTGCTGGCAGGCAAGGCTGACAGAACAGAGACAATGGCAGTTCCACTGATTCACTCGACACCCTCGTGACCCCTGCAATTATGACAATCGATACCAGTTCTCTATCTCACACAAACAGCACATGCTTCTCACATGTTTCTCACTCTGTATAATTATTACACCCATAAGACTAGGGCTCAATTAAAATGGAGTCTTCAAAATGGTAAAATCATATTAATATGCCAAACCACAGTGATAAAGTTACTGCACCCAACAAAGTGACCAAAACTTATAAGGAGGCCCAATTCATACAGCTAACTCCCTTTCACCACGGTCCAACTATTCTCGGTTTGCCATGCATCCATCAACGAGGTTACACAAGCAAAGCAAGAAACAAAACTATATACACCTAGGAACAACACAACTACACCCAGGACAACTTTTTAGAGAGGGGTTCCACTAGAGAGGGGTTCCATTCATTTGAGGGTTGTCCTTAGAGACGGGTTCCACTAGAGAGGGGTTCCAATCATTTGAGGGTTGTCCTTAGAGAGGGGTTCCAATCATTTGAGGGTTGTCCTTAGAGAGGGGTTCCACTAGAGAGGGGTTCCAATCATTTGAGGCGTGTTCTTAGAGAGGGGTTCCACTCATTTGAAGGTGTCCTTAGAGAGGGGTTCCACTAGAGAGGGGTTCCAATCATTTGAGGCGTGTTCTTAGAGAGGGGTTCCACTCATCGAGGGTTGTCCTTAGAGAGGGGTTCCACTAGAGAGGGTTCCAATCATTTGAGGTTGTCCTTAGAAGGGTTCCAACATTTTAGCGCTGTTCTTAGAGAGGGTCCACTCATTCGAGGTTCCTAGAGAGGGTTCCACTAGAGGGTCCAATCATTGAGCGTGTTCTTAGAGAGGGTTCCACTCATTCGAGGTTGTCCTTGAGAGGGGTTCCACTAGAGAGGGGTTCCAATCATTTGAGGCGTGTCTTAGAGAGGGGTTCCACTCATCGTCGAGGTTGTCCTTAGAGAGGGGTTCCACTAGAGAGGGGTTCCAATCATTTGAGGCGTGTTCTTAGAGAGGGGTTCCACTCATTCGAGGGTTGTCCTTAGAGAGGGGTTCCACTAGAGAGGGGTTCCAATCATTTGAGGCGTGTTCTTAGAGAGGGGTTCCACTCATTCGAGGGTTGTCCTTAGAGAGGGGTTCCACTAGAGAGGGGTTCCCAATCATTTGAGGCGTTGTTCTAGAGAAGGGTCCACTCATTCGAGGGTGTCCTAGAGAGGGGTTCCACTAGAGAGGGGTTCCAATCATTTGAGGCGTGTTCTTAGAGAGGGGTTCCACTCATTTGAGGGTTGTCCTTAGAGAGGGGTTCCACTAGAGAGGGGTTCCAATCATTTGAGGGTTGTCCTTAGAGAGGGGTTCCACTCATTTGAGGTGTCCTTGGAGACGGCTTTTTACATATGTGGAATAAGTGTGTGTACACTAACACCCTCCCTTGCCCTACCTTTGCTGCTGGTGTAGGTGGTGGTGAGGGTCACGTGTCTCTCAGTAGGCACCGACTGAGCCGTGCATACCACAGTGACGGTGTGGGGGAGAGGTGTGCCCGTGACGACGGTCTCGTGAAGGTGTGAGGGGTGAGTGGTGAGAGGGAGGGAGGAGGAGACGACCGTGGTGACATCACGAACTGGTCACCCCTGACGAACTGTACGTCAACTGAAACAGACAGACACACAGGTTATGCACACAGTAGCTACATACGCATACACAGGCCAGACAGTGTATACAGACTTTCTGTACATGCAAGTCATAAGAACAACGATCACGGGTACCTGCTAAGGTATGTAAGTAAGCATCAGACCTTGATGTCGACACATTTCTTCATTCCTTCCTCTTCATCTCCTTCCACCTCTCCTGAATCACTCAGCTGTGAATGGTGAACACACACACAGCAACTTTCAAATCAATATCATGTGCCCACTGCAGAGGCACAACAATCCTCCTTGCTTCACTACACATCCCCTCACAACACAAACTTCACCATCGTACAACTAACCTACATATTATGCCAACATCAATGTACGTGTGTATATACTAACAAACTACAGTGTAAGACTAGACATTAACCATCTTCCCTCCAACCCACCCACTTGAACCGTAGATAAAAATATCACTGGATGTGATTTTAAAACCGAACTTATTTTTATATGTCACCTGACAAATATTTCTATATAGACAGTAGGTTGCGAGGAATATCAGGTACAAGCCTCTTCAGAACTCCACTTGCAATGTTTATTCACCTTCACGTTAAAATGTGCCACCAACATTTGCTTACGACGTGTGTGCAATTACACGTACACCTACCACAGGGTGGTTCGCTTCCACTAGTGAATAATCTCTTAATGTACACACGTCATAATGAGTCTTACATCGACCACACGAGGCGCTCCGAGGATCTCAGTCTTGACAACGAGAGAACCTTCAGCACCAAACATCTGTCCCTCTCCTCCTGTAGTTAGCAATCACAATAACGGCCTGAAAGTCGGTCGAACATTTTCGATACATACAAACACTGTTAAAGAATACGAGAATCTCACTTTGACATGAATTGGTAATACAACAGTAATAATGTTCAACTACATAGCTATTAACGGTCCCCTGGAATTCATATTACACACAAAAACTTTCACAGCCATTTTTTGATGTGATTGTTTCCTTACAAACAGTGTCAGTAGTTGCACAAACTCAAACGGCTTTGATAAAATGTTGAAACTGATGTGTGTGCGTGTCTGTGTAGGAACTCCCATTAGACACACAAGGAAAAGGGTATACACAATCAAACACCTATACACCTATATACACGACCCTAGTGGTACAATGGTACCGACCAACAGAGATGAATATACACAAGGAAAACATCAACAACCAAAACCCAGAGTGCACTATGTTGGTGTCTTCAACAGATTAAGATACAAAAGGAAGAACAACGGCAGAGCTAGAATATCGAACACGGGACATGTACATAACTCAGTTTTGCAAACAGATAAAGCTGCCCCCCACACAGCTAGGAAAATCGAACACGGGACATGTAACTCAGTTTTGCAAACAGATAAAGCTGCCCCACACAGCTAGGAATATCGAACACGGGACATGTAACTCAGTTTTGCAAACAGATAAAGCTGCCCCCACACAGCTAGGAAAATGGAACACGGGACATGTACATAACTCAGTTTTGCAAACAGATAAAGCTGCCCCACACAGCTAGGAAATCGAACACGGGACATGTAACTCAGTTTTGCAAACAGATAAAGCTGCCCCCCACACAGCTACATGGAAATATCGAACACGGGACATGTAACTCAGTTTTTCAAACATACAGTAAAGCTGCCCCGACACTTCACACAGTGTTGCTGGATCCTGTGATTCAAAACAATGCACATTAACGCGCAAACCTTTTTGACACATGTAAATTTGCCTTCCAATACTGGGAAATATCACAGCATTAAACATTTCCTGCGAGATCACTTGATCTACATTGGCGACAATGGATGACTCGTATATTATAATCCAGAGATATACCATATAAGGGAAACACTTGAGGGAGAAGACTTTCTTCGTGGTTTATGAGCAAAAGTTTTTCCACGAAAACTTCGTGCTTGCTGTTTCCATATGTACAGTATGTATCTATGTAACGGTCAACTGATTCATGGATGGACCAACATACCGTAAGGTTTATGTGACGCACTAAACACGCGCGAAATATTGAAATGCTCGCACCGTAACAATATGATGTTGTTTCTAAATAGCGCAAAAACGTGCTAAATTTTGAAATGCTCGCGCTCTCGCTTGCCAAAAAATGCTTTATGTACATTCCTCTAGTAATGTTCCTGGTGACCTTTCTCGGCAGTCTTGATGTCCTTCTGGAGCTCCCTCACCTCCCTCTCCATCTGGGAGAAATCGAGGTCCCGGGAGGCAGAGGGGGGCGGGGCGGTGAAGGGGGAGGGTCGGTACCGAGGTAGCAGCAGGTCAGGTGACCCAGTTCGTCCACAGTCACCAATACTCCCTGCAGATCCCTGCACAGGCAGAGAGAGAGAGAGAGACACACCTCACACACTGCTACAGTCCCTGTTAACACAGTCTACTCTCTTGGCACGGCGGGCATAGCGTTCCCTCTCTCGCTAGTTGGCGGCTGGCACTTCATCAGTTGCCACGTTTGAGAGTTTTACAATCATACTTTCTACTGATACTGAAATATTGCTACGTAGCAAACTCTGCCCCTAACGGTACACATGCGTGCTTTATATAGTGACACAGAATAAGGTAATTAGTAGGAGCATCCAGGAATGTTCTAGAGGGTCATAATGCAATATGAAAAGTAAATAAGGTGAAAAAAAAGAGCGGTGAGACCAGAATCCCAAATCTAGCTATAGTTGTTCCCCCATGTCACTACGTCAGGTATAATTAACCAAAGTGTGTTAATGTCTAGGTGTACCACTGAACTTCTGCCTTAGACTTCCTGGTTATCAGAATGTGGGATTTTAGTGATGGGGACTGCACATACCATAAGTTCCACGTCATTCTAAATACGCACGTGCGTGCTTTCTCCGCCCAAAACTGCTTTCTAGAACTCTGCCTCTTTTACTCTAGTTTCCTCATGTATGAATACACTTTATGAGGAAACCCCTCAAATCAGGCCACCCCTAAAATTCCTTTCTCTTGCTTGTCTCTCACCCTTCACTATGGAACCTCACTAATATGGAAACCTTCCTGGTATCCAGATTATAGGGGTTTCCCTAGTTAATGTGTTGTTAGGTGTGAAAAGACTTGGCTGTGATGCTAGCAATCAAGAGACTCACTGAAAAGTGGCGACAGAGATGTCAGTGGGAGGGTGTGGCAGGGCGGCGGCCCACTTGAGGGCGGAGTCCTGGAACACCTGTAGCTGACCGGAGTCTGTGGCCAGCAGGTACTGGAGACTGCCCTCTCCTCCCTCCTCCCCTCCTCCTCCTCTCTCTCCCACTACACAGAGAGAAGGTTGATGTTGCACAGTGGGACCTCCGAGTAATGAAACTATTACGACAGCAGTTATTTTCATTATCAGGAAGTTTTCTTTATTGAGAGGTACAATGTGTATAAAACAGTAAGGTAAGTTGGTACACAGGAAGAAGAGTATAGAGTTGTTGGGGAGTTGTTTGTCGGAGGTCCCACTGTACACACATGTGTAACACCCTCAACTCAATGACGTACTGTACACAGCCTCTGAACTAACACATACTTATTGCATAAATAGTGCATGTATGTGGAGATTTGTCAGACTCAGTCAGAGTCAAGGATGGCATGAGTTGAGAAACGGTTCTGAAGTAAAGGATGGTAACACCCTCACATTTATAAGTGTCACCTCCTACTGTAGGTGACATCAAGGAGGTGACATCAGAATGACATAATCCTGATAACGGTTACAAGAAGAAAGAACCCACTCTACACTGTGCTTCTTGCTCTTTTATTATGATTCGTGCATAAATTGGTGAGTGAAGTAACCCCTCAGTCATCTGAATTTTCTATTATATAAGTGTATGTAATCTGTAACTCACAATCAGAGGAGAGGACCACGCCATAGGGGTAAATGCAGGTCGGGCTGACCTCCAGTTTCATCATAAACCTCAGCTGACCCGTATCCAGGACACAGTACACACCCCTCTCCCCTAGCACCAGGAGCTGGGACGGTTTCCCCGGCAACTGTCGAGGAATGCGGATGGAGATCACATGATCCCCGAGGTTGACAGTCCAGTCAGCCTGCAGCGGAGGGAGGAATCTCGAGACAATGGAACGGTTAGAGAGTAGGAGGAGCTTTCATTCATTGCTTGTGTTCTTGAGTGGCATCAACAAAGTTTGTGCAGTGTTCCATCCAAAACATTTTACCGTGGCATTCTTGTTTATTACCTCGACACCTTTTGTATGATGTCATAGACTCTCAGAATGCTAGTTGATGTATCCATGCAAGTACTGCACGATTGTGTTGAGATAATACGAGGCATTCGTACACTAGCATGAAAAAATTTGCACATGGTCATCCTTGTTAACACTGACACTGGGCCTACATGTGTACAGTCAGATTGTAATATGTTGTGTGTATGGTCTTACCCTGGGTTTCTTCCCTGCATTCTCACGGCCACCAACATCAGCACTGCCACAGTAGGCCATAGACAGAGACTGGTACCTGCACAAACACATCATTTTCTTCAATTGTACTACACATATTACTGTGCATACGTGTGTTGTAGATTCGAACCCCTACCAGCCGAGTTGCCCTGGTAGCTCAGTTGGTAGAGCACTTGCCTAGACTGCAGAGTGGCGTGGGTTTTAATCCCACCTAGGGCAGCTATTTCTTTTTCCTTGAAGAAAAAGAGCTGTGCTTGGTGTAATTGATTCGTTTGTTGTGCCTTTGCCCCTCTATCTCGTAGTTTTCACATACACATGAAATGCAGGTGCCAACAAGGAGGTCTCAGACAATGGCAAAGCAACAACACCCACAACAACTCTTTCTTCCAAGGAAAAAGGAGCTGCCCTTTCTGGGATTCGAACACTATTACTGTCGACATGCAATGCAGCCATCACATGGTGCTTAGTGCACTCTACCCAACAAGAGTGCTCGCAAGTCGCTAGAGACTTGGCTTTAAAAACCCTCAAATTCTACCGCTGCTTTCTCAATTATGTTTATAAATGTGTACAGAATGGGTTGATAAACACATTACAAGATACACATCTCAAAGTGTCCCTTGTTTGAAAGGTTAAAGATACCTCCCCACTTTATAATCTGAGATGCGACTCACTGTAAACTGGTGAACAAAACTCCCTATCACAGCATCATACATCTATGGTATGTACAGTACCATGCCCATCCCTATGTACTAAGTACTACCGTATTTATAGTGATAGTCTGAGATGCGACTCACTGGAAACTGAGCAGCTGTCGCGAGGAGTTGGCAGTGACGATGCTGTCAGTCCTGGCCAGGTAGCACAGGGGACCGGGTGTCAGGAAATCGGGCAGGAACACGGAGAAGGCAAAGCTGTCGTGGACAAAGAAAGAGAGCTGCCCGTCCATCGACTGGACACAGATGTAGTCTCCAACTGGAGAGAGAGATTTCGGATCATTTTTCCTATCACGTTATGTTTATTTACAGAAGTGAAATCTTGCAATCCTGTATGAGGAAGGTTCCCTCATCACATACGTTTACTCGTCAAAAAATGTATAATTGCTAGTAACGAATCGACATAAAGAACTACTTTTTTATCTGTCTGTGAAAGTTTTGAAATTTTTGTTGGCGAACATCATACCTTCAATCCCATAAAAGTATTTTGCACGAAACTTGTGTTGTTACTAAAAAGCCTCCTCTCAAAACATTGCAGTAGTACAATATTGCACGGCCTTATTCAACACCCACCGTCCACTCTCCCGAAAGCTCCGATGGTCATGTTGCAGGAGGTTCGACTGAGGGAGTTGCTGTAGACGGGACTCAGAGTGTAGAGGTTGGAGGGCTCCGAGAGACTCTGGTCCGGCCCCGAGGGGTCGTCTGAGCTCTGGGAACTGAGGGAATACACTGCCACCTCCTTGGGGTGCAGCAGGGCGAGCTGGAGCTGCTTGGAGCCTCTGCAGCGGTGAGAGGAAGGTTCCCTCATCACATAATATCACCAAAAAATGCAGACAGCAATTATCACATGCAAAAAGAGAAAATAGGAAATCGCAACCGAAATGGTGAACAAAAAAACTCCAGTGTGGTATGTATTTCACCCTAAATCAGAATTTTGCTTTTGCTAAAGTATCATTGTACACATATGGTACTGACTGTATGAATCTGCCAGTCTCCAGCTGGAGGATAGCCTTGCCCGTCTGGTGCTCAATGAGCAGATGGTCGGGCGAGAAGGAGCCGGGCTCAGGCCTGTAGACACGAACCAACCCCTGGAAACTGCCCACTGCAATCTTGTCTGCGGCAAAGAAGCAACTTTGCAACATAAATTGGAAGATTCTAGCAAATGCATGTATCTGTATGCAATACTAGTCAGCAGCTGCAGAATGTCTGCAGCTGCTAGCCAGCTATGTTGCTGCACCGAGCTGAGGAGGAGCTCACTGGAGGGCGGCATGCTGTTGTCCAGGTTTCCAATGCACAGGCAGCCCAGATCGTGGAATTCCTCGTAGCCGCTGGTGGTGGCCCACCACTCCCGCGCCTTGAACAGTGACATTGCTAGCTCTAGCAGTGTGCAGTTCCGAGCAGCAGCAGCAGCACTAGAGGTGGTTTACGCCCCCTCTCTCCCGCTCGAGCTAGTTTCGTTTTAGAGCGCACCACCAAAACGAAGCTCACGTGATCAGGAGAAAGACGCGAACGACCAACACAAACAAGGCTAGCAGCAGCGGTTCTGTGCCCTTCCCCTCCCAACGGTAAAGTTTTGTTGCTCACAATTTTTCCTAGTTCTGAGTGACGACAGAAGTATAAGGTGTGTGTGTTCTGGGCAGGTGTAGGTTATGGGGGCGCTGGGTAAGACGCCGCGACTGGTTCACTCGTGGGGAGGCAAGCTGATGGGTGCGACCATGTGGTGCTGGATCCTCTGGAGATTCAAGCACGACTGGAGAGACGTTCTAGTACGAGATTGCATGCTTTTTGTTTGAAATGCACACATATTCATGTCACCAGCAATGCAGCTTGGCGATGAATGTTCGAAACCTTGTTTTTTCCACACAGGGTCACCACGACAGTTTAGAGCCGCCACCTCTAAAGAGACAGAGCTAGATGTGTGTGCTCAAGTTCATGTTGCATTCAGTAGTTCACATTGTGTGGTCTACAATATATAATATGCAGTAACATCACGTTTCACCCAGACCGTGGATAATGGGTCCCCTATTCTGCGATATTTTTGTGGGCGTGCTCTCCTCTATTTTAGCGGAATGCATGGTCAGCAAAAATCCAGAAAGGAGCCGAGAAAGACTGTGTTGTTTGCCAGCTTTCCCTCGCTCTTCGACCATTCAACGCCTCCACCATCTTTAGTATGCCAATAGACCCACACTAAACTCTACACTGTAAGTTGTGCGTGGCGCTGGGGCGTGTCCTACCTCCTGGCTAGCGGGTCAATTCCTAGCCAGCGGACGGATATCGTTGTTCCACAGTAAAAGTAGCGAGAGGAGTAGTCATGCTGACCATACGGAAAAAGCTGGAGGAGCAGGCGGCGTCTGGAAGCTCCGCTGACGGGGGGAGGGGGGAGAGCAGGAGGGTCAGGAGAAGGATGTCCATCAGATCCCAGTTGCTCACTGAGGGTATGTACCTAGACATGTAGCTATATATCACAACTTATAGCTTTTGATATCAATCAGGGCCTGATTAGTCTGTAATACATACTCTCGCCCAATTTCAAATGAATGATGTAGTAAATCGTATTCATAATTATAATACTCCTGAATCTAGGCGAAAAATCCTTCCCCCTCTCTCTCTCCCTTCCTGTCTCTCATTCCCTCTCTTTCTCTCTCTCTCTCACACACACACACTTTCACTCTCTTTCTCTGTCCTCCGTCCTCTGTATGTGTGTAAGAGGTCAGAGAATTGGGACAGATCCTTCCAAGTAAGTATCACTGTACCTCGACATCACCCCCTCCCACACCCTACCATTAGCTACTCTACTCTGCTCCCGCAGAAACCTGTACAGTTAACTTCCCCAATCACGACAATTTCAGGACTTTCATCGTAACCATAAGACCAGGTATGTACTCCCCCCCGATTCAACTGTATACAGAACCAGATATAGTGTATATGGCTGTTGAACAATGCTCTCCTTACAGAGGAAGGCTACTGGAAAGGAGGTATATTTCATTTCAATGTACAAGTACCAGAGGACTACAACAACAAGGTATGTATATATGTGCCACAGATGCAGTTGTGGTGTGTGTGTGTGTGTGTGTACACGCCATTACGTGGTCTACACCTGTGGTCCACACAATCATAGTCTTATGATGTTCTTAATTGTATGCAGCCACCGAACGTCAGTTGTAATACCAGACTCTGGCATCCCAACATCAACGAGACTGGAGACGTGTGTCTGAGGTAAGACTGCTCTGCCACTGTACCATAGTGTCAGACATTATCACTGGAACTTTCTTTTCTCAGTAGCAAATTAACATGAGAAATTGTAATCCAACCCGCTAATCAGCAAACTTTTCAACTGTGACATGCACGGTGGAAGATTTACGAACATTTTCTCCACTCACAAACTTTAGTTCCCTGTAGTCTCCTCTGGTTGCTTATCTTACCCACACATTCACCTCATTACACATTGCCAGAGTACACTCTCAATTATTGTACATTATATAGCACAACAGAAGTGTATGTGTTGTAGGAGTACTTTCATGTTGTGCGGCATTAACATCGTTGGGTGATGTGCTGTAGGAGTAGTTCATATTGTGCTGGCATTAACATCGTTGGGTGATGTGCTGTAGGAGTAGTTCATGTTGTGCGGCATTAACATCGTTGGGTGATGTGCTGTAGGAGTAGTTCATGTTGTGTGGCATTAAGATCGTTGAGCAGCCCTATGCCATCTGTGTTTATCCTACTTCCCCCCACCAGCATACTGAGGGAGACGTCAATAGATGGCACCGGCTGGTCACCTGCTAGGAGACTAAAGGTAATGTGTATGGCTGCACAGTGGAACCTCTGATAAGGGAGGGACAACCTCTCTACAAAGGACACTTGTTTTAACCCCATGTTAATACTTTAGTGTATCATTTTACCTCCGAGATAGGGCCGGCCTCTCTACAAGGGACAAGATCGTTGACCCCCTTGTTCGGAGTTCCACCCTATTGCCTGTACACATACATGTATATACAGTGCAAAATACATTGGAACCCTCTCTAAGGTTGTTATATACCCCTGAAATGAAGGCACCTTTCTACAGTTATTGCATATTCAACCCGTCGCATAAGGACACCCTCCATTTGTTCTGTCTTGTTAGTCCATTTATTCCGTCTTTAGAGTGTATACCTCTCTATTACATTAATATAGGACGTAATACTGGGCCTCAATTCTCTCTTCACGGATCTCCTAAACTTTGACGATCCACTAAATCTTGAGGCTGCACAGCACTACGAACGAGACAAGGTTAGACATCACACGTGACAATCATGTGATGTCATTAACCCCTCCCCCTCCCCGTCCACAGAATTCCTTTGCCCGTAAGGTGTACCAGTTTGTGAAGCTCTACGCCAGTTAGCAGCCGCTCTGTGTGTGTCTCTTCTCCAAACACTTTCAGACATGCATGTCGCTCCCCACATGAACCGAGCTGTCCATCCATTATGTTTTTAGCACTGTTTTCATTCTGTTTTGTACTATTACCTGCTCAAAGCGTGAAGTATATAGATAAGGAAATGGCAATGTATATACTGGAGACGTACAAAAGGTTATTGCATAAAACTTCAAGTGTGTCTACATGTATAGGTAGAGTGTTGTGGGTTCCAATCCTTCCCAGAGGTGCTCTTCTACAAAAATGCATGGTCGGCTCATTCATCATTACCACAAGATGGAGTTCTGATTAGTGAGCTTCTCCTCTTGTGGTGGCCAAACAGATTGTGCATAATTACACTCCCCACTTCAAAACCTGGTGTAGGTATCCCCATCAATAACCCACAAAAGCACCAAAGCCAAACAGACAGTAGCATTAGTTGCTGGACAGCCATGAAAACTCGTGTGGTGATCTCTCATGCTGATCTCTCATGCTGTATTGCTAGTCTATTGCACAGTATTTTTGTGTCAGTCAAGAGAATGAAATTGAATTCAGGAGGGAGTTGAATAGAGCTATAGCTACATGCTATGGTAGTAACGAAATGTTGATTCCTGGCTACACTGCTACTCCCTCTGGTCTCTACTGGATCAGTGGAACTGACAATGGACCCAAACACATGTACTGTGACATGGAGAGGAGCTGCAAAGGTTGTAGCTGTAGGCTGGATGAGGGTGGCCTCTATCAACATGACTGACACTAGCACCTGTCCATCTGGTTTGAGTACCCTCACCAGTCCCCGCATGTGTATTAGGAACTTGGATGTTGCTGGATGCTCTTCAGTTATAGGTTGCTGATAAAGCTAGCTAACTCTGTTTTGACTGGAATCAAATTCACTATTGTACCTGGTGACTTTATACCCAAAAAATAACCCCCTTGCCCTGATGGTTTTAGCTTTAGGGTCGGTCAGGAGAATGATCATAGTTCTTGACCACACTGCTAGTTGGGTCCATTCTTGAGAGTACACTATAAGGCATTTCAGAGTCCTCTAATTAGCATCAATTAGCCTTACTACCACCTCGTATGACCGCACCACCACGTCCAGGTAATTAAGACATTCAGCAGCATATGGGGGTTTTCTTTCGTAATTATTGCAGTGTATTTCACATTGCATAGCCCATTGTGTGGTCTATGACTGACAAAACCAGCAATGCTACATAAAGTACAAGACAGGTTGAAGTAGCACTTGTGCTTCTGGGCGACTTCTCAATTATGGAATTTCGTGTGCTGGCCTCTACAGTGCTGCTAGTTGTTTGCATAGTAGTTTGTGCTGGTCAGGAGAATGATCAAGTAGTGACTGCTAGTGTGCTCAGGAGGGAGTTGAATAGGGCTAGACATGCCATGACAACCACAATCTTCAAACTCTTTAATCCCGGCTATACTCCAAGTCACTCTGCCTCCTCCTGCAAGGAGATCCTCCAGCTGGCCCCACAGTCTCCCTCGGGTCTCTACTGGCTCAGTGGAACCAACAACAGACCCAGACAAATGTACTGTGACATGGAGAGGAGCTGCAAAGGTGTAGCTGGAGGCTGGATGAGGGTGGCCTCTATCGACATGACTGACACTAGCAGTACCTGTCCATCTGGTCTGAGGACCCTCACCAGTCCTCGCAGACTGTGTGCTAAGAACATTGATGGTGTTGGCTGCTCCTCGGCTCTGCTGCCAGTACATGGAGTAGAGTACTCTCAAGTGTGTGGCAAGATCATTGGATACCAGGACAAAACTCCAGATGCTTTTTACCGATTTATTGATGATCAAAACACTATCGATACCATTATGTTGATGGCATCAGCTTAACACATGGTCAATCTCCCCGCAAACACATCTGGACATTTGCTGCAGCATTACACGAGAACATCGCAGCGCCCTGAGTCGGTATGTCCCTGCACTAACACACGCAGAGATCCACCACCTACAGTACCTAACTTCATTGGAAATGACTACTTCTGCGACACTGGTAGTCAGAACCACTTTGAGCTCATCTTCTATGGAGATGATCCTCTCTGGGATGGTGCTGGATGTGGTGAGTACAACACCTGCTGTGACTTCAACTCTCCACCATGGTTCAGGAAAGAGATCTCTCCTCCAACCAGTGATGACATTGAGATGAGGCTGTGTACTGACCAGCTTCGAAGTGATGAAGACATTAACTTTGAAGTACTCGAATTGTACGTGCAGTGAGATAAGTGATAGTGATTACATAGAACTCGATGGACCAAATGATGTAGCTATTTCTATGAACTTTAATTAGTAATGAGTAATTTTGGTTGTTGTTTTTGCTGGAGATATTATTTCTTGCAAAATACCCAGGGGAGGATCTAGTGGGGTCATTGAGGGCAGCTGACTCCAGTAACACTTGCTCTAGTCAAGTAGTGAGCACACCATATAAGAATATTTCTGTGTGTGGTGCTTGTAATACCCCTCTCCCCCACCTTCTACTGCAACTGCCCCTCCCATCCCAAAAGGTTATCGAAGACGCTCAAGTTCTACACGCACGTCTGTATGTGTGCCACATTCATGCTCGTAGGGGGTCAATGGTTCAATTCCATGGTGGTCTACTCTCCTTTTAAGATCCACTGAGGCTTGATATGCAATGCACTCTTATTGTAGGATACCTTTTATCACTTAAATGGCACCATTCTCGTCATTTAGCTGATCAATGCATGTTCCAACAATGAAGGTGTATACTGCGTAAGCACATCTTGCACATGTTGATAGTGAAGGGCCACATTTCCACATGTTACATTTACTGTTTTCGGTTTGGGTGTACAAAAGTCTGGCCATGTAGTATGACTTCCCCTGCTGTTTATTCCCCTCCAAGACAAAATAGCCCAAAAACACTCCATTCACTCTGCTTTTCAGATCACTATCTACTCATAACCACACATAGGTGTAGATGGATTTATAAGTAATTCTCCATCTCAGTCTCTTCTAGAAAGGATTTCGGGAAGGAGCTGAATGGGACAGTAAAAGTTAATAAAAATTGACGAAGACTTGACTGAATCGAGGTCAGGGCCTTTGAGTTGTGCTTTCGCCATATAAATTCCACAGTGGCACTCCTGGAGAGCATTGACTTCTATGAAAGACAGAAGATCAGCAATGGGGTTGTCTGCACCTGTCGAGTAAAATCGAGTTGTCGAATTGTTGAGGAGGAGTGTTGCATTGAGTGTGAAGTCAGGGCACACATGAGGGGTTTGTGGTCAGCGAACACACAGAACTCGCGTCCTTAGATCGTGCAGTGGCAAATTTGAGAGGTAAGAGCTCTTCCTCGAACCTGCTGTAATGGAGATTCAGCTGGTCTTAGCTAGTAAGAGATGGCCACTCTGTGCCAACTCTCTGCTGCAAAATCACTCCAACAGCTGCGTCAGAGCTATTACACCAAATGACAAAAAGTGCACATAGTTGCAGCAACTAAACTGCACAAAGTAGTACATCCTGTTGTCTGATATCTTGTATAGCGGCCTTTTACAAAAGCAGCTCAAAGGTGACACTGAACAGTCCCTTGAGCCTCTCTTTTTGTAGCCCACTATAAGGTAGGGACTTACAACAGTGGTGTAATATGTTCCTTCTCAATCTGCAAGGCTGCATGAAAGATTCTAGTTAGCTACTCATTCGGCATTGCAACTTCAAACAGCAACTCCTGTTAGGTGTAGCTACTTATTTGATGTCTGTGTAGGCAACCTCAAAGGTCACCAGTTGGCAGTAGACCAAAAGTGCAACTTTCTTTGTAGTTAGCTAAACAAAAAGCAGCATGCATATCCCGATATACTATGACAGCGTTGAATGAGTGCACTTAGTCTGACCTAGCCTCTTGCATGTGTGCATGCATCTCTCAATACTGTTCATGGGCATACTACAACCAGTATACATGTTAAGAGAAACGCTAGGTTTCATCTTCTCGTCCAGCCTGTGTAAGTCAATTGTCTTCCAGGTCTTGTTACTATCCACCCAGTCATTGTTCATTCAATGATGTTGTCCTTATTACAGCCAGTTCGCAAAGGAAACACCCAGGAACCCTGTTAGAAATAGTTGAGGCCTAGAACAAAACACCTGCCACCAAGTGGGCTAGATAATAGCGCCAGGCCGGCATTCAGGAAGGCTTTGTTCCCAAACTGGGCTCCTGGTTGCTTCTTTTCTCTCTGCAAACTTCAAATCCACCTCCTGGCCTAACAGTATTAGAACAGGTTCTGACGGGACATGACTGGGTGGCTTTTAGTGCATTGAGAGCTATTTTCATACAGATGTTTCGTGGGCGTTGCAAAGTAGCTACTTGGTGAACCTACGGAAGGCTGTAAGGGGCATTCATTGTGGATATTTCCTTTCTACAATGAACGACGCCACTCCCTGCTCACTGTCTCCGAACCTCTAGGTTGGTTGACACTGAGCGTCATTCATGTAGTGCATTACGAAAAATACCCTACGGTAGCACATGTGACAAATTTGCAGAGTGGAAGCGTAGTCCTTAGAAGAATGGATGTAGCTAGCGTTCGGTAGAATGGATGTTTTTTTCCGTTTTAGAATAGAAATTTACAATTGCACTGAGTGTCCCCTATGAACTTCTAACAGAAGTGGGATCTGATTGATTTGTTTTTGAATGTACGGGTATAATGCTGTGGGGACCCTTGTCAATGCACATGCATTGAGATAACAAACGTTTCTTTAAATATTTGAAACCATCCGTGCATGAGACGACAGTCTTCCGGTCTCCGAGGAGCCGACGAATGCATCGTCGTGGCAACGTGAGGCGGGTGTGGCTTGGTAGTCGACAGCCGGGGTACGGCGTCGCTCACGAGCCCGTGAACAAAGACGAGAAGGGCCTGAGGAGTGAGTCCGTCGTTTGAGAGGATTCCGTAGCCAATCTGACGGAGGGGACACTCATGCGCTCCATAAACTTACCACAAAATAATAATAATTATAGGCCGCAACTACGGAAGCCCATAAGGGACATCCATTGCAATTGTATATGGAAATTTTCCATTCCACAATACAATTGTAGTTCACTTCTAAAAACCGTTACTTCCGTTCTATTCAGAATACTTCCATTCTGCAAATGCCCCCCTTTGGCACATGCGCTACATAGTAATGCAATGTGTAAATGACGCAACCTGGCCAACCTCTATATGAGGCCACTAGAAGGGTATGTTAAAAGGAATGTGGCAGTATATTAGGGGTAAATTTAGAAATGTTACTAAAGATAGAACAAAACCATAAGGGCACAGTGAAAGAATGCAATTGAGTTCTTTTTCGA